CACTGACACTTCCATAGGGTCCCTGAAGCAGTGATGCATAGAGGATACGGATAGGATATGGATAGGATATAGATGGAATTTACAGACACATGGGGTAGCCTCCAAGACTTCCAGGTTTTGTCCATAGGACCCATAGGAATCATCGATTCATCCCAGGCTCCTACCGCTGCTGGAAGGATTGGTGGCGAGACTTCAGGCGAAGCAACGACTGACGAAGGATCTAACTATGTTGGGGCGACCTTCATGTGGGTAGAACACATTTATAAATAAATATATAATATATGGGTATGGATCAATACCTATTAGTACCATTTTTAGTGGGATGAACATCCATAAATCCCAGCTATTTTGATGTGAACTACAGGGGTACAAGGTTTTGACACACTGCCATATAAATAGATATACACACGTAACTGCATACACTAAAAGTCACACACCTACCAAACACTTCAATTATATAGTAAATATAAGGGCATAATTTGGTGGCAACCAATGACATATTCACCAAAGTTGTTCTATCATGTTAAGGTAAACCCAATGCAGCCAGGCTCTGCCCGCAGGTGGCGTAGCTTGGGTGTGTGGCTGCCCAGCGACAAAAAGGGGACCCATGTGGTTGGGACCCTGGTTCCAAATGGGGCTGTGCGAGACGCCCAAAACTAGGCCTGTTGATTGGTTGTGAAAAGAGTTATACTGTACAACAAAAGGCAACCCAACTCCCAGAAAAAGGATAAACATGGCTAGAAAAAGTGATATCCTACTAAAATAGTTGACAATTTCATCAGGTTTAGCCTCTGGTAATTCAACATAGCTATGGGAAGTGGCCCATTTGGTGCTGATTTGCCTACTAAGCACGGTGATTTTCCAGCTCTCAAACTGTAACAAAAAAAAATACTAGATGGCAATCCCATCAACCCTCCCCATCAAATTTCCATGAAATTCCCATGAAATCCCAAAAACACAGGGGATCAACAGAGTCGGATTTTTTCCGATTTCCAGCTCGCGCCGAGGCCTGTGGGTTGGCTGCGTCGCTTCGGCCTAGAGGTGGCCACCATGGTTTATTAATTAGGGGGGTACCCCTCCGATAGTCATAATATGATTCACTTAAATATGGTACCCTCCCAATTAAAGAATCGTTTGGGGTTTATTAATCCAGGGTTGACATTATGTGGTCTGAGCAAATTCAGACAAATCTGCTTGAGTATGTAGCTTCTTCTTTGCCGATCTGATGATAATCTGATATTTGACCAGAAGAATGGGCGCTCCACTGCCAGGAAGAGGGAGAGGACGGAGGACATCTTTTGCTGATAGTTTTAGTGTGGCTCTCAGCATTCATTGGACTGGTTTTGCAGGGTTTTGTTGGGAAAATTGACAGGAAACCCCTATATTTGCTGGGCAAAACCATGAAAAACCATGAAAAACAATGAAAAACCATGAAAAACAATGAAAAAACATGAAAAACAATGAAAAACAATGAAAAACCATGAAAAAAACATGAAAAACAATGAAAAACCATGAAAAACAATGAAAAACCATGAAAAACCTCGAAAAACCATGGAAAACCACGAAAAACCATGAAAAACAATGAAAAAACCATGAAACAACCATGAAAAAACCATTAAAAAACATGAAAAACCATGAACAACCATGAAAAAAACAATGAAAAACCATGAAAAACCATGAAAAACAATGAAAAACCATGAAAAACAATGAAAAACAATGAAAAACCATGCAAAAACAATGAAAAACAATGAAAAACAATGAAAAACCATGAAAAACATGAAAAACCATGAAAAACCATGAAAAACCATGAAAAACCATGAAAAACAATGAAAAACCATGGAAAACAATGGAAAACCATGGAAAACCATGGAAAACCATGGAAAACCATGAAAACCACCATGAAAAACCATGAAAAACCATGAAAAACCATGAAAAACCATGAAAAACCATGAAAAAACAATGAACAACCATGAAAAACCATGAAAAAACATGAAAAACACATGACAAAACCATGAAAAACAATGAAAAAACAGGAAAAACAATGAAAAACCATGAAACCACCATGAAACCACCATGAAACAACAATGAACAACCATGAAAAAACCATGAAAAAACAATGAAAAAACCATGAAAAACAATGAAAAACCATGAAAAACCATGAAAAACTGCACGCAGGTCAGCCCTGGCAACTTGTTTTGAACCACAAAGCGGCTATGCCGTCTCGATTTGGCGTGTCATCCTGTGCAGGTGGCTGTGCTAATCTTCTCTGACTTTCTCAGCAAGACTAAAACCTACACAACTGAACATGCTGTTTCACGTTTCAAATTGGGGTGTCTGACATCCATGCACTCCTCCCAGGATTGACATGTTCATGCAATCCTGCTTTCTGGAAAATTTTGAGCTCTCTAGGCCCAAGCCGCTAAGCACACCTTTGGCATGCATCATATCCGATCAGCTCTCCCACAACCTTAGGGCACTTCTTCTTCGTATGGACTAACTGGTTCTTATCCATCATCATCACGTCAGCCACCAAGTAGGTGTCGCCACATTCACCACAAAGCGGCTTTCTTCCTTTCCAAGACTGTGCCAACGTCGGGCATCCACTGCTTCTATGGAATCTCCTCCCATTTGGTGTGATGATTGGCCCCACCAGGTTCGGCTTCTCTGCACTATCTGGATGCGCAGACCGAGCTCCCTCTCCTTGGTTAGGCTTTGCACCACTCGGACCCGCAGACTGGGCTCCCTCTCCTCCAGGGTTCCCACAGCGCCATCCAGGAGTGGGCACTGCTCCGCTCGGACCCGCAGACTGGGCTCCCTCTCCTCCAGGGTTCCCACAGCGTCGTCCAGGACGAGCAGACTGGGCTCCCTCTCCTCCAGGGTTCCCACAGCTCCGTCCTTGAGCGGGCATAGGAGGCACTGTCTGTGCTCCCTTTTTGTCATGTCGTTCCTCCGTGCCTTTCTCGGTTGTGTGACTGTCGCTTCTGGTAGCGGAGCTTCCTCCTTCCTGTCTTTTTTCATTGGAACCTTTGTTTTCAGCTTTTCTCATCCTCAGAGTCGCCACTTTCACGATGGTCTGTTCTCCTTCTTCACAACTTATCTCTTCTTCTTCTTCGCGTACATGAAGTTGGTGACGTTCTCGATCGCGCATGAAGCCGCGAAAGTCGCGCATAAGGCCGCGAGAGTCGCGCATAAGGGCGCGAGAGTCGCGCGTAAGGGCGCGAGCTTGGCATTCCTCGTGATCTCTCTTCTCATGAAAGATCTTCCACATTCTTTCTACCAACTTGTGCAAAACCACTCCAAGGATCATCATCAACAAGCCAAATGCCGCCAAAACTTCTGATCCTTCTTCCGTCTCACTCTTGTCCATGGCATATACTCTTTCTACCTTCTGAAGTACCGCCATGAGGGTGGCGATCTTTACCACCTTTTCCATATCTCCTGCAAAGACCTTCTTGGATACCGTCACAGCTGGTTCTCTGTCCTGTTCCTCTGCCAATTTTTCTTCCTCTTTCTCAATCCTTTCTTCCTTCGCTCTGGAGAAAGCTACTACATCTGGTAGCCATTCCAGATTCATCTTCTTTGACAGATCCTTCGTTTTGTTGGCACCAAGAAGCTTTGTACCCATGTCTGCGACGAGCTCTGTGCCCCGTCGATGGTGCATCTTCCAGTCTCCAGCTTCCACCCTCCATTTGAGGTGTGTCGCACGTACTTTCAAATGCCGTGTGCGCCAAGCTCCTGTCCGCGTGGTGGACAAAGCCACGGCTGCCATGTTGTCACATACCAGCTGCTTATCCACTCTTCCTTCCAACTCCTCCACTATGCATGCTAAAGAGTCTCCAACTATGACTCCCTCGATGGCTTCTACCAGCTCAGTCTCTGCGGTAGACAAACAGGGGAAAGGCTGTTTTGAGGACCTCCACATCACTGGCGTACCTCCCATGCTTGCTACCACTGAGCCATGCGACAAACCACCACCTGGTGCAAAACTGGCATCTGTTGCCACTTCCAGGACATTCCCTCCCTTCTTCCTGAAGTACAGTCCCATACCCCAGGTTCTGTTGAGGTACTTCATGGTGTGTGCAGCTGCTCCTGCACACCATTTTGGAGACCTGGTTGCATTTGAACAGATACGGCTGGTAGTGTAAGCTAGGTCGGGTCGGGCCTTTCCGGCCAACCACAGCAGTTCTCCGGCCAGTTTTTGGGCCAGTTGGATCTCCTCTCTTGTCCTATCTAGCTCCTCCTCCGGCTCGAAGTTGTCTTTCAAAGGGGATGCCGCAAACTCCTTGCAGTTGTGGCGCTTCAGCACTTCTTTCACAAAGGACTGCTGTCCCGCAAAGTAATCCCCTTCGTTGTTCTTGTAGATCTCGATCCCGCAGAACCGAACTGGCTCTGTTTCAGTGACCCATTGAGGTTTGGTCACTTCCCATGTCTTCTGTATCTTTTCCACCACCATGTTGGTGATCTCCGGGTTCGACATGACCAACATGTCGTCCACGTAAATCAAAACCAATCCTTGCACTCCACCTTCATCTCTAAGGCTGGTATCCTTGATCAGCCAAAGGTTTTCTTCTGCAAAACTCGGCAGCAACTTCAACGTCCTGCCTCCTTGTTGTATTTCCATGCCATGTAGGGTTCCATCCCTGTGATCACTCCACAGGCGAGGCGACTCTCTCAGTCCATAGAGGGCACGTTCCACTAGCCAAAGCTCTCCAACTTCGATCAGACCTAGTCTTTCCAGAACCCGCGGTGGTTGCATCAACACAATGCGGCCTCTGTCTCTTGTTGGGTCTTCTCTTGGTTGTGGTTTCTCATGCACGTCCCCCAGCTGCGCGTTCAAAAACGCTGCAACCACATCTAAACCTGCAATGTCCCACCCATAGCGTGCTGCCATGGACAGTGCAAGTCGCAGGCAGATTGTGTCTGCCCCTCCTGCATAGTAGTTGGCATGTTCCTCCTTGGTTTCTTTTTTGTCTCCTCCTTGAAGGTGATTCCCACACACCACCAGGCGGCATTTCTTCTTACCATCTGGTGCTTTTATCGTGTGTACTGCTTTTCCTGGCACCACCTCCAACTTGTCTGCATGCTCTCTCTTGTAGTACGCAGCTTCCTCTTTGGTCAGCCTCTTGACTGCTCCTTTCTGCACCAAGTTGTTAATCTCCTTTCTGATAGCTCCAACCCACTCATCTTTGTTTTGATACACTTCCTGGTTGGAAACTACCCTGGTCTGTAGCACTTCTTCTTCAAGTCGGCCTTCTTGCAGTGCCGCCATTTCCTTTCTGATGGCAATCATCCCTTTCATCACTGCCGGAATGACCTCTTCGTCTTCATTGTACATCGCTTCATCCTGCTCCAAAACTGCCTGGAACAGCTTGATACTTTCTGCAAATTCTTCTTCTGGAATCCTCAAAGAAGCGACTGACATCTTTTTCCTCAGTCTTCTTCGCGCTTCCATAGGGTCCCTTTCTTGAATCACTTCTTCTAACTCCAACTTCTTTTCTTCTTCCTGCGGCTCTTTGCAGTCCTGGATCAGGCAGCTCACCACCTTGAAACTTCCATCTTCTTCCATAACCGCATGTCCTTTTGAAACTTCTGGGATTGGAGTCAGGTAAGTGACTTCCTGTGCTGTCGTTTCAAACTCATCTCCTCTTTTCCATTTCCGCTTTCTTGTCACTATCTTCTGTCCAAACCTTGGCAGTTTGTCCTCAATCTTTTCAAACCTTCTTCTCTCCAGCTCTACCACATGTCGTGCTGCAATCGGCCACCACTTCGTCTCCATGCCAGAGGAGTGCAAGAGACGTCGCACCCTTCCCTTGATAGAAGCTATTGCAGCCTCTGCTCTTCCATTTTGTTGGTGTTCTTCTGGGGTGGACGATGTCCTCACAATTCCTCGGTTCAAGCACCATCCCTTCAAGTGCTTGTTGACAAAGGTTGTTTCATAGTCCGTGTGCAGGCGTACTACTGGGTAGCCATACCTTCTGAGCTTCACCACCAATTCTTGGACTCCTGACAAAACATCCAGCGCATGCTTTGAGGCTAATGGCACACATGTCATCAGCTTCAGCATTCCTTTTGTCTTCAAATTTTCTTCCAGCTTCCCTTCTTCAGTCTTCTCCTCAGCACTTTCTGCATCCTCAGGAGGCTTCTCTTCCTCCCCTTTCCTTTTCGATGCTGGTCTTGAAGGTAAACCCTCTGCTTGAGCCTCCTTCTTGGGTGGCGAGGAAGAAGACGCTGACGCCTCCCTTTGCTCTGCCTCTTCATCTTCCAAAACCGGAAGCATTTCATCATCTTCAGCAGTCTCCTCATCCAACATCCCCAAGCTTTCTTCAGAGTCCTTACCTTCCACTGGCCACGTGTAGGAGCCGACCAAAAGGTATTTCTTCTCTTCACCATCCACGTCCTGACCCCACTTCAATGGGCCACAAATGTCAACAGCTAAACAATGCGCTTCTGGATCATCATGTCTTCTATGCGGCCTTTGTCTCGCTGCTGACCTCTGGCAAACCACGCAATCGCGCCGAAACGGCACATGTCCATTGTCAACGTGGGCAGTCCACGACAACTTCTTCAGTCGAACTTCTTTTCCTTCTACTTCCTCTATCAAAAGCCTTGCAACTTCATGCATCATCCCAGGAGCCCACCTCGAGAGCTTACTGGAATCCAGTTCTGGACCTTGTTCTCTGCTCCTCTCACCATGTACTAGTGGGTCTGGTGGTTGAAACCCAAGGTTTGTTCCGCATGTTGTTGGCTTTCTCGCTTCACCTCCAAAATCTCCTTGGTAAAACGTCACTTCTTCCATCTGGTAGTAGTGCTTGAACAGCAACCATGTTCGATTTCTCCACCACGAAGCGCATTCTGGACACCACTCCGGTGCTGCTGGCTGCTCCAACAGAAATCCAACCTTGGCCTTCAAACACCTCTTGCTTCTTTCTTTCACCATTGCATCTCTCGCTATCTGTGCAACCATGTACAGGGTCAGCATCCTCAGCATCAATGCATCGTCCTGCAACAACTTTCCTTGTTCATCAGGGGGAGCATCTGGAAGTCCCCAAGGGTATCCCGCCGTCCTCGATGGTCCTGGGAAGCCTTCTCTTGGTGTGTGTCGCAGCACTGAACGTGTGCGGCAATTTGGGCCACCAACCACTGCACCAATGGCTCCTAGCATTGCCAGCTTGAGGAGGGTACTGTACATCCCTCCAATTCTCAACATGTCATGATGTGCTCCTCTCTTCACGTCTATTTCGATCAACCTCGTGCCATCACCTCCCTTCTCCAAGTAGGCTCTCTTCAGAGTCAGGCCTTCTTCTGGCCCGGCGTACAAATGTACAGTGACCCCTTGTTCAATCCATCGTCTCCTGGTTCTTCTGTTGGCCTTCAAAAGCAAAAGGTCTTCGGCCGGCACTTCCACTAGGTTGTCCTTGACAAGTGAGGGTATTGAGGCCAGTACTGGATGTTTCTCTACCAACTCAGCCATCCATTCTGCGCCCCAACATGCATCATCATATGCCACTTTTTTCATGCTTCGAAGCGACATCATTCCTTCAAGTTCATCCACCATCTTTTCCGCTTCTGCCTGGGTGATCTGTGGACATCCTTCTTCGACCTCCACTGCTATCTGTCCCCTGATGGGGTGGAAAAGAAAGCATTCATCATCTTTCCACTCAAAGCTGCATCCCAGTTCTCGTACTAGACGACCAACTGGTAGTATCGGTTCCATCCCTGGTTCTTCATGTACCAGGGTTCCTCCATCCGTCATCCACATTGTCTTTGAACCTCCAGCTGCAAGGTTCACTCTCACTTTCTTGTACTCTTTGCCCTCAACCAGGTTCTCATCACTCCTCTTGGACCTCAGAGCGTGAGTGGCTCCGGTATCCAGCAACGCTTTCTTGCCGAACTTGACTCGGGCAACCATGGCAGTCTTCATCATATTGATTCTAGGCTTCCACGATCCGTCCTGAATCTGTTGCAACTCCTTCTGTAGCTCCAGCATCCGTCCTTTGGTCATTTCTTCCCTGGTCTTTGTAGGCTTTTCTTCAACTCCCATGCTCTTCAGCATCTTCGAAGCTTCTTCCATGACGCTTCGCAGAGAGTCTCCTCCAACACTAGCAACTTCTTCTTTGGTGGTCTCAGCCTCCTTTGTTGCCACTGCTGGGGCCTCAGCAGGGGCAGGGCTCTTATTGGCGGTTTTGTTGGGGGCCTCAGCCTCCTTTTCCACTTTCTGCACCTTTGGGTCTTTTTGAATGTCCTTGCGTGGACACTCCCTCGCAAAATGCTTGGTGGATCCGCACACATAGCACCTTTTCTCCCCTGGCTCTACATTGTGTCCCCAAGTGCAAGCTGCACCACGTCTGCAACCATCCTCCTGATGAAAGAACTTGCATTCCTTCACATTCTTTTTCACATTCTTGTCCTCTGTGCTCCCACTGCTTGCGGCGTTCAACTGCTTCACCTGGCTGGTTGTAGCTGTCGCTCTTTCTGCATTAGCCACCTTTGACCTTTTCTCCAAGTGGACCAGTTGCTCCAGTTCCGACAGTAGGTGTTCAGAGTACGTCCTCACAGTTTGATGGTTTGGAATTGTATCCAATTGGAGTGTGTTTCTGACAAGTGAGGTTCTGAAAGCTAGTTCTGGGTTGTTGTTCAGCAGCTTCTTCATCAACTTTTGTCAGACCACGCAAAAGTATAGTAGAATCGGGTAAGCATAACCCGACATCCTGAGCTCTTCTCAACCATCGCAACCACTTCCGAAGACTTTGGACTCCAGTCACTGCGTTTCCTGCTTCGCCAGGATCCTCCAATTGACGCAGAATCACAGTTCGTTCATGTAGTCCACCAGGCTGGTAGATGGTCATCAACTTGGCAATCACCTTCACTGGAGAAAGTGACTTGGTAGCAACAAGCTCTTCTCTCACTCCAGTGGGTATGGCATCCATGAGCATGGAAACAGCTCGGCGTTCCACTCGAACCCACTTCGTCTTCTTCAGTTCTTCAGAGGCCTCGATCTCAAAGCTTGTTCTTTGAAGTGGTCGGAGCTTCACATACTCAGAGTACCATGCGCTGCATTCATCCAGCACAAGTCGCCACCAAACATGCGAACTGTCAGACAGATCCGTCATCACCGGCTCTATCATGGTCAACCAGTCGGCATAGTCAATGGGGGCCGTTTCGGTCGGCTCCTGGAGGGTCTGCAACTTGTTCACTCCAGGTTTGACCGCTTCCATCTTTTCTCCATCATCTTTACCTTGCTGACTTTCCAGAAGGTGCAACATCATCTTAGACAGGACATCAACCTGCCTTTGCATTCTTCCATCATCAGCTGGCTCCAACGCATTTCCTTGGTTCTTCCTGGCATCTCCTCCGGTCCCTTTCTCACCTGCTTCCTTCTTTGGAACATCTCTTTCTTTCTGTCGTGCTCCTTCTGAAGGTTGATGAGATTCCCAAGGTCCTCGAAGGTCTCGTCCAGGAGGTGGCTTCTTCACTGAACCCACCGCAGCATCCATCACCTTTTGCAATTCATCATATTGCTCCATCGGTGTCAACTCGTACAGCCTTCTCCTCTCGGATTCCAGGTCATTCTCTGTCTTCACAACCCGGTCTTCAGCTGCACGGCTTCCTTGCTGTTGGCCTTCAGGAGTCTGAAACCCTTCCACTTCAGGCTTAGCCTTTCTTCCTCCTTCGCCATTTGGCACCTCTACCTCAGAGGTCTTTCTTTCTTCCTTCTCCCTCAGCTTTTCTTTCAGCAACTCCTGTTCCATCTTCAGCTGCATGTTCTCTTGCTGCAACATGAAGAAGTACTGCATCATCTGCTGCTGATAAATCACTGAGGGCGTACCAGCAGGCATCGCTGCAGGTCTTTCTGCAGGTAGAAACTTCGGTCTTTCCAACTGCACATCTTCCAAAGCTAAACCTGAAGACCTGGCTTCATCCTCTATTCCTAGCTGCGTCCTCTGTGGACTTCCATACAACAGAGGTGCTCTGTTGTGCAGTTCTTCAAACTGCCTCACTTGTTCTTCGGTGAACAGCGGCTCTAGCTTTTTTTTGGGTTCTTCATTCTCTACATCTTTCTTTTCATCTTCAAGTTCCAACATTTGAGGGTTTTGAGGTCCATAACTCACAGGTCTCCCAGTTGGCCCAAGCATCTCCTCTTCTGGCCTTTCTTCGCCTGATCGGTCAGCTTCAGGACTTCCACTGGCTCTCCTGCGCATCATCATGGCTCCTCAGCAGCGGCTAACGACAGGTTGGGCTCATAACCTGCACGCAGGTCAGCCCTGGCAACTTGTTTTGAACCACAAAGCGGCTATGCCGTCTCGATTTGGCGTGTCATCCTGTGCAGGTGGCTGTGCTAATCTTCTCTGACTTTCTCAGCAAGACTAAAACCTACACAACTGAACATGCTGTTTCACGTTTCAAATTGGGGTGTCTGACATCCATGCAAAAACAATTGTTTCCTGGTAGATGTTCCCTTCAAATCAGACTTCGGTGCGGATTGGGTGCCTGAGGCGCGCCACTTGACGGATGAAGACTTCACAGTGGCGGTGGTGAATGCCGGTGCCAAAATGGACGTGCTGATGGCATGGCAAAAATGGATCAAATGGTAATATAGGTGTGGAACAAAGACCCTGAAAATCGCCAATCTTTACTGGGAATCCATCTCCAACCTCCATTCGGAATGGCTGGGTCGATGTTAGCTGGGGGATGGTATGTGGGATCAAATGGCAATTTCGTGTGGGAAATAATGGGATGGATAGATATGTTATTAAAATATGATTTTTGTACAGTTTAGTCTGCCTGAAATGGCAATTTCAATGGCAATTTCAATGGCAATTTCGTAGAGCTGTTGCAAGCTGAACCTCTTGTACGCACGTTTTCTGCTGTGAAGAATCTGCGAAATCTTCGAACATCGGTGAGTCACTACCTTTGCCGCCCTGAAAAAATGGTACTGTCTCATATTATTTATTTGGGGATGCACACAGCTACAGCAGTTGTCTGCTGTGGCAGGCGAGGGGCTTCAGTATCACCCTTTGCGCCCTTGTGGCAAGGTGGGGTAAACGGGCACACAGGGACACATTTGGGCCAAATCATCAAGCACTGGATAAGTAGATGACTCCATAGGATTTACAAAGACAAACACATACAATTTTCAATCATACTGTATACAAGTGGTCATCTCTAAGACGGATGCGGATCTGGAGAAAAGATAGCAGCAACTAGATGTTGTCATAGCCCTAGACTTGGTTGATGGGAACATGCCCAAGAAATTCCAATATTTGGGGGCAAGACCCATCTCCAGAAATCCCCTGAAACCAAGGCATTGAATCAGTGAATATCCCCTTGTTGTTGATGGTTGCACATGGTTACACCCCCATGGTTCATGCTGTAACAGGGTCATCCCATTTCCATTTCGCAGCCAAGGCGCCTCGACCAGAAATGCCCGAGCGCCAGTGCCCATTAGTGACTTGCCATGGAATTCTGCCAATATTTTAAGCGATTTTGCCCTGCAATTAGAAAGCGAAGAGTGAAACTGTATCCATGTTTTTATTCCCCCTCGAAACTTGAAACCATTCAGAATCATTTTCAAGTCCACATAGTCCACTAATTTCGAGGCGATGGTAGGAGCTATCTGGGTTTGTAGCACAGCTGGCCTCGAAAATCCGTAGCTCAAAATCCGCTGAAACTCCGAGATTTTGTGCGACGTGCCGTGGCGTCGAGTCACGTGTGGCACGCCTGAATCTCAGTCTGCAGGTGATCTGGACCAATTTTAGTGCTATCCTCTGGTAATTCAACAAGGCTCTGGAAGATGGCCCATTTCGTTTTGATGATTTACCTGGTTTACCTATTGAAAATGCTGGATCTTTCATGATCTTTCCATAGTTATGTTAGTTTACCAGAGGGTAATGATCATGGGAATAAATCTAGTATGGGATATATATATATATATGTGATATATAGAATCATATCATATTCCATGTGATATTCCCATATATTTCCCATATGTTTGATGATTTACCGGTTTTTCATGGGGACTTTCCAGGTCGCGTTACGTGGGTTTTTCTGAGGTTTTGGTATCTGCTTTTCAGGCAGCTGATGCGTCCGTCCGAGTCCAACGGCTCCAAGCTTTTGCCGCGTAGCGGCATGGTTTCCGGGGGTGAAACCATGGTGCCAGGGGTGAAGAGTTTGTGTTGGAAATTGAAAATGGTTGGAAGATGTTGAAATCTGTTCAAACATGTGGAAGAAACCATGAAGAAACCATGAAGAAACCATGACTTTGGGGATAAACGAAGACCTTGGCTTCCTTAAATCAGTCTGTTTTGCAGTTTTAAGCGAGCTTGCCAGGTACAGTACCCTGCTGCCAGCGCAAGTCTCAGCTGTTTTGCCATCTGGGAAATGTGGAGAAAAATGGCCGGAAGGCTTAGGTAATTAGGTGATGCTCCACTGACATTCATTGATCCCGTAGATGACATGCCTTTAAAAATTTTAGATACGCAGCTCAAATCCAATGTGGCAATTTCTCAAAATTGAGGGAGTCACGCTGAATTTATGGCCATTCAATGGCGCAATGGGGAAGTGTCAAAATTTGATGGTTAATCATTGTTAATCATTATTATCATTGCCTCCCCTTGGGAAAATAGATATATCCCGCCATTTTCAGACTGACTACACTGTACAAACATCATATTTTAATATATTTTAATAACATATCCATCCATCCCATTATTTCCCACACTAAATTGCCATTTGATCCCACATACCATCCCCCAACCAACATCGACCCAGCCATTCCGAATGGAGGTTGGAGATGGATTCCCAGTAAAGATTGGCTATTTCAGGGTCTTTGTTAACTTACAGGAGGGTAGCCCCCTGGGTTCCCACAATTTATATCCTGTCTGTGCAGACAAAGCCACATCATCCGCGCCATTCTGAGATGCTCAAGAAGCAGCCCCTGGCAGTCAGTTTTGGGCAGGAGCCGGAAGGTCGCAAGCTGAAATTCCAAGGGCTGCAGGGTATCGGGCTTGTGGTGATCGAGCTTGTGATGATGGTGATGATGATGATGATGACTCTTCTTCTTATTACTATTGTTACTATTATTATTGTGTGTGTTTTTTTTTAAAATCAATTGTTATTATTTATATTTATTATATATTATGATCATTTCATTAGTACTATTAGTATACTTACGTAATTACCATTATTATTACTACTATTTTCTCCACCACTACCACCACTACCACCATCAACACCATCATCAGCATCAGCATCAGCATCATCATCATCATCATCATCATCATCATCATCCATCATCATCCATCATCATCCATCATCATCCATCATCATCCATCATCCATCATCATCATCATCATCATCATCGTTATTAAATTACATCTTATCATTATATATGGGCATTATTATCACTATTCTCATGGTTGTTATTGCGGTTGTGTATTTACCAATAAACATGCTCATTTTAAGATGACCCTCGCCTGGATGCCAAGGCTGGGCGGACTTTTCCGCCGTCCCGGTATCAGGGGACGGATCATTTATGCACCCTGGTGGCACGTGGCCATTTGCGGCATAGAATGATGGTGAATTTACGATGTTTACCAAAGGTAACTACCCCAAAATGGCCGAAGAATTCTGATCACCATCCAGGATGGGTTGGAAGTCAGAGCCTCTCGCAATGGCAGATAGGATTGTCACTTCCAGTATGGGCTGGGTCCAACATGACAGGGTGGGGGCCCTCAAATGAAAGGCCGGACTTTTCAGGTTCGAGATTGATCATGATGGGTCGTGACTGACTTGGTGTGGTCAACTTTATTGCACTTTTCAGGGGGAATGACAGTTAACCACTGGCCACTGGCTATTTTCTGGACAAACTAGTCGCATTTTTTCGCAATGATTCGTGCATTTTTTTCGCGACGATTTGTATCATTCTTTGCGACATGCTGTGTCTTGTCTGTGGCATTGATCAATGGACCAGCCCGGTCCCATTTCTACACACGAGCCTTTTCCCGCTGTGGCTTCTTAACCTGGCGAGTATCGATTGCAATGCACAAGTCATACTAGTAGGGGCCGTTCTGGCAGAGGGAGGACTTGGGACGCGATGCAAAAAGGCGCGAGGAAAAAACAACAACTTGTGGACACGAGTGGTTGACTGTCAGGCAATGCATTCAGCATGCGGTGTGGGGCCCTGGCATGGCTTTTTGGATGCTTTTGGAATTCACATTTGGTATAGGGTGCCCCCAAGGTCAGCGGTTCATCATCACTTTCCCTATGAAAATTGCTGTTTGGGGGCATATAACTTTTCAGACACACCCAGATTTTGCCATGGTTGATTTGCTTTATTTGGGTTGAAATGACGTCTTGAGAGCTTCCACATGCCGGCAGGTTCGCTTTTCCCTGCGAGCTGCTGGCGCAACAGCGGAGACGGCAGCATGGGCGCAGGCCTTGCGGGCCATTGCGGGTAGCAAATTATCGGTGTTTGGGAAGGGGTTACCGGTTACCCTCTGGTAAACTAACATAGCTATGGAAAATGGCCATTTATAGTGAGTTTTCCCATCAAAAATTGTGATTTTCCATAGCTATGTTAAATTACCAGAGGGTACCCCCCAATTCCTCAAGAAGGGTGTATTCCAGGATTGAAGTTGGATGTCTTTAGGGCCGATGGAACATCTATACATAAACCCATCATAGATAGCAAGTGGCCTTGCATCACCAGAAGGACAAATCCTCCAGAATTTCTTTCTGGGTGTGTTGTTTTCTCCTGAGTGACCGTCAATGTTCTGAAAAACTGATTGAACCGCTCCCACAATGTTTCGTGCCCAAACATCTGGGCGCCTGACAGTCTCGCTACTTGCAAATGCACGGCAATGGAGAATGGCAGTCACATCGGCCAAACAGATCTACAAACAGTTTACTCGTGAAAGTCACCTTGCCATTGGCCACGGACAACGACGCTTGTAGAAGCAACCGATCTCCGCCATAGAAAGTTCGGTCACCGCGGCATGGCATTGGGTCTAGCTGGAAATGCTGAGAAAGCTGCTGCGAATATGTGCTGGGGTGACAGTTGCCATTTTTCTTTTGAATTGTCGGAGGCGGGGGCAGGGAACGGATGGCAAAGGGGGATGCTCTCCAAGGAGATCCCAAGAGCATCATTGTCTCAGGGATCCTCCCTACCCATCCCTAATCACTAAGCGTGGCTTCACATTGACATAGC